ATTAGACAATGACTAAATTCTAGCATTTTCTTTCTTGGTGGTCATTATCAATACCCCATCTTTTTTGTAGTTGAGCCCTTTAATGTGATAAAGCTCCTTGATTATCTAGACTATGCTGGAGTAAGTCTTTTCCAGGAGGGGTTCATGGAGTCCTTGTTGAGTCCTTGTCTATCTGGTTTGGTGGCAGGTGTAGAAAACAGACAGACCTACTGTGGGATCAACAGTCCAGTTGGTTTGTGCAGTCAGCAGATAGTCAGTCCACCTGTTCACACATACTCAGTCTGAACCATGCTCTCTACCCGGCCTGGATTTCGGGGCCCCAATACCCAAATGACCCACTGGAACGCTGCCCTCTGCCTCACCCCCACCCCACCAGGTCTTTTAACAGAGAGTCTTCACTTAGCGCCTTTCTCAGGATTCACACTCACTACTTGGTTCTCTGAGCTCTCAGGTCATCTGTGCCCCGTCATAAATTAGGCCACCACCCCCAGATTCCTGCCCCTTCTTATCTGTTCAGTCTGGCTTCTGCCCACCACCCGCCGCTAAAAGCAGGACCCTAAAAGGGTGGACACACAACAATCAGTCTGCAATGATAGAAGAAACCAGTGAGCTCAACTGGGGAAGCAGCATCGGTGTGAATCGGGACACAGGCATGGAGTATTGTGTTGGCCAAAAAGTTTATTCGGATTTTTAGCCAGGTGTGATGGAAAAATCCGCACAAGCTTTTTGGCCAACCCAACACCTTTATCTGTGTGTCTCCCTGTCTTCCTCATGGGACTGAAAATGTACAAATCTCAAAAATGCTTTTTAAAATGTCAAGGAAGATATTTTTTTTTTGGTTCTCACTCTTCCCCCAAAGAAAAGGACAAAAAGTAACCTTTTTCCAAGACTACCACATCTCTAAATACAGCAAATTCTAATTTTAAAAGCAAATTAAGTTATATATGATGCATGTTTATTTCCCAAGCCCAAAAAGGGGGAGGTGAGATGGGGAGGGAGAGAGTTTGGTTCCCTACAGGGCATTATAAAAGTTTGTTCCCTACAAGCCATTACACATGGCTTGTTTTAGAATTTTCCTCCAAATTTCTCTTCTCCTCCTCACCCTACCCTCCAAAATGTCCACCTACTCAGGGTTTCAATATCTCTGGGAATTCTGTATCTCTGTATCTCCAAACAATAGTCTCCAGGTAAGCGGGAAATAATATAAAAATATCAAGGGGATCTGGAGAGAGGAGCTTAGCGATTCAGGAAAAATGAAGACTCTCTTTGTTTCTGATCTTGATTTTTAAAAAAATATTCAATGATTTAAAACCAAGAACCCCAAAGAGCTGAATCTTCCCATTCTATATGGTTGGTTTCATGTAGGCACTTTCTCTCTAGCTCTCTCTCATGCTCCTTCTTTGCCATTGTCTCTCTTCTCTGTTCCAGGACCTCGCTCTCCGGACCTCAGCTTATGTCTTTACTGCTCTATTTTAAATCTTGCCAGTCAGCTCGCGTCTGTCCCACAGGGAAAGTGTGGTTAAAACGACCTAGTTGGACAAGAGAAGACAGCTAACCTCACTTGCCCCTAGGAATGTCTATGATTGAGCCACAGTGAAATCTAAATATGAAGCCAGAAATAAAAGACACTCCCACTACCCATCAGCATAGTATGTCTGTTCCATAGTCTGCTCAGAGGGGACCATACTACACCAGACTTCTCTGTCTTTGATGGGTCATTTAGAACCGTCTCTCCCTAAAGAGATATAGTATTCTACTTAAAACAACAATTGGAGTTTGGGCATTTATTTTGTACCTGGGGCACTAATGAATAAAACAGTTCTTCTTGTAGGAAGCTAACAGTCTACAACATGGATGAACCTTGAAGACACTCTGCCAAGCGAAATGAGCCAGTCATAAAAAGATAACTACTGTAGGATTCCACTTTGATGGGAGACCTAGCATACTCAGAGTCACAATAATGAAAGTACAAGGGGAGCTGCCAGGGGTGGGGTGGAAAGAATGTGGAGTTATTGTTCAGTGAGGGTAGAGTTTCAGTTTGGGAAAATGAAAAAAGTTCTGGAGATGGTGGCAATGGTTACACAACAATGTGAAAGTATTTCATATCACTAGCTGAACACTTTAAAATGGCTAAAATGGTAAATTTCACGTTATGTGTATTTTACCACAATCAATAATTTTTTAAAATTTTAAATGAACTTCATAGTCTAGTAAGAGTTATCTACAGGTTTACAGTCTTATAGTTAGAAAAAGTGGTAAGAGGTTATTTAGGCCAATTTTTATCAATCCTTTTTCTTACTGGAATTCACAAGAACCACATTTTATATCATGATCCAATATGCATATGCCATGATACTGACATATATATGTATATGCATATACATATATATACACATATATGATTATACCTATGTATATGTATATACATACACATATATAATTGAAATATAAACATAAGTATATTCATATTTACTTATGAATGTTTTTAAATATATTTATAAACATAATAATATATTTATATTTAAGATAATTGAGAATATGTAACTAAAAATGATAGAGGAAAGCATTATTGCATGGGATGCATTTTTACTTTTTTCCTACTCTGTTTTATCCCATTTTATCTAAAAAAAAGAAAATAACAACTCACAACCCACAAAATTGATTTCAAAATCCACAAACAGGTCTCAATCTGCACTTTGAAAAACACTGATCCAGACCAATCTCCAAGACAATGCAGAAATCTCCTCTGTAGCTACCCCGCTGGGTGGTCATCCAACTTTGGCTTGGATGCCTCCGGTGATGGGGGACTCACTCTCTACTTTGCTCTGTGGCAGATCCTCCAGCAGTTAAGGATTCTTGCCCACTTTCAACCTGTTCCCGGAGCATCCTGGGTGGAGCCAGGGATCCCAGATGGGCTGGGACTTGCTGACAGGTGCTCCGGCCCTATCAATGATAAGTGGGCTTCAGGGAAAATGACAGGTCTTCCCAGAGGCAAGGTGGGAGCATGGAAGAGCCGAGGCAACGCAGGTCTGGCTGGCCCTGGAAGGTGGGGCAGGGTCTCCAGGCGACTCTACCTCCATGCAGTGGTTGGATTGCCGATCAGACCTTTCCCTTCTGCTAGCTCCAGCACTAGGATTATCCCCTAGTCTGAAGGATGATCTCATCCCCCGCTGGCACCCTGACTCCTGCCTGTGGGAGAGGCTTCTGCCCCCTTGAGGGAGCCTCAGCCTCGGGGGAGACTAGATTCCCTTACATCCACCCTCAACCTCCCACCCACCCCACAGGTCACTGCTGGCCACCCCTCCCCCACTCCCCCCCCCCCCCCCGCCACCACTATTATAGCCTCTGGGGTCCCTTCTCCAGGCATTTGGACAGGTGCTATTGGTATATTTCTCTGCTGCCCTAGGGGGTCCTGCCCTTTTCAGGACAATGAGACTCCTCCACAACTGACCATGCCTTCCAAGAGGAATAAAACAAAGGCAGCACGCCACCCAGGGACACAGCTGGCTGCTGGCTGTCAAAACCCTATGTCCCCGGGATGAGGCGGGGACAATGCCTAAACTCCTGGTGAAGGCAGTGGGCTGAGCGCTGAGGTTGGGGGGTGTCGCGCCCTGGCTGGGGCTACAGGCAGAGACCAGGGTGTGGCAGGTGTGGGTTCCTGCAGATTGCAGCCTCACAGCCATCTGTCCCTGCCCAGGTAGGACCAGGTTGACCTCAGGGGTGGGGCGGGGCAAGAAGAGATGGTGAGCTCATTGTATTATTAGAACCAAGAGAAAAAAGCAACCCAGTGCAGACGGAGGAGAAAGCAAAGGAGGCTGCCAATGGGCAAGGGAGCAGAAGAGCTGTGGCTGAAAAAGGCAACGTAAACCACAGGTCTGCTTTCAGTTTTTAAGGGCTCTGGGGGGCCAGAGATGATCCAGAGAAAGCCAGACTCTGAATAAAACCCTTCTCCCTCAGCAACAAAACATTTTTATGCAGAAAGAACTCATTGTGGACAGCTGATCTGTAAGAAGCTCTGACGATTCCCACCCATCCTCTGTCCCCTGAGGTCCAGAATAGAAGAAACTCCTGGAGCCCACCCTTGCCCCTCTGCCAAGCACCATCCTTTTCGCCTCACCCCTTTGCCCCCAGGATTTGGCAAAGTTGAATTGAGTGAAACCAAAAGGCAACACAATAGATACCAGACTCCTCGCTTCTTCTCTCTGCAGCTGCTGTTTTTCTTTTCTTTTGTATGAAAAGCCTCAAATAATTTGCATTCCATTTCTCCTTACCTGCAGTCCAGTTAGAAGCGAGCTGCCGCCTTCTTCACTCCTTCAATTAGTGGTACCCTGGGCTTCTCTCCACATCAGCACCACCGCTCAGCTCTCACCATGACATCACCTCCGAGCTCTGTGATTGGCTGACAGTGGGTTGCTTGGCAATTGGACAGTCTCCTCTGGCTGAACAGGGATTGCCTGAGTGAGTAACTCTTAGCAGACCAGGGAATAGAAGATGATGTCAGACAAATAACTTGCCTTCGGCACTGCCTCTGGAGCTGGGGAACCAGAGGGTGAGGTTGGGGATGAAGAAAGAGAGAAGGAGTGGTACGGGAAGGTGGGGGTGAGAGCCCAGCTTGCAAACTGAGCTGCCCAGCAAAGAAAGAGCACCTGGACAGAGGGACTGATGATTTCCAGAATCTTTAGCTTTTTCTGATCTGGGGGTGGGAGAATATAGAATCTAGAGGAGAAATCAAAAAGAACAGATGAGCCCTAAAAACAGCTCCCTGGAGGGCTTCGTGCCTGTTTCCAGCTCTTTCAGAAGGGCTGGTGGGTTTGAACATTGAGTCAGAAGGCAAGGAGGGGCTGCCGGCACCCCAGGCCCTGGAGCTGGTCTGGGAGTGACATGGGGGTCCCAGGAGAGCAGAGCCACCTTCTTGCCAGCTGGCTGGCATGTGGGCCACACATTTGCTGTGGCCACTTAGCCAGCACCAGTGGGTCCTCCTCACAGCCCACCTCGCATACCTGTGCCTTCCAGAAGGAGGGAGACATGACTGATGCTGAGGGTGATCAGCACCCTGGTGTTTCCCAAACGAGGTGGAGCCCCACAGGGAGCTGATGGGGTACCCATACTGGCTTCAGGGGCAGGGCGCGCAGGACACAGCCCTCTCAACACCACAGGTGGCTGGAGGTGGCAGAGTGAGGCAGTCAGGGGCACAGAACACTGCTCCCCACCAAAGCCTCCCCAGATGAGCCCTGCACCCCCACACCCCATGGAAGGGACAGACCAATACTCCACCCAGCCTCACCTCACCACCCCCTTTTGGACGGGGGAGGTGATTTCTGCTATTGTGGTAAAATACACATAACCTAAACTTTACCATTCTGACCATTTTGACGCGCACCGTTCAGTGGCATTAAGTACATTCACAAGACTGTGCTACCATCACCCCCTATCTTTAGATCCTTTTCACCTTCCCGAGCTGAAACTCTGTCTCCATGAGACACTAACTCCCCCTCACCCCCACAACCTCCCATAACCTCTAATCTATTTTTTGTCTCAATGAATTCACCTTTTCCAGTAAATTCATTACCTCATCTATTACCTCATGTAGGTGGAATCATACAGTATTTGTGCTTCTGTGTCTGGCTTACTTCACTCAGCAGAACATCCTCAAGGGTCATCCAGGTTGTAGCCTGGGTCTCAATTCCACCACGTTTGGGAGACCTTTCAGAGGAGGCTTTGTTCAACCACCATCATTTTCACGGGCTCTCACCTGCCACCACCACAGCCCTGCTGACGACAGAAGGTTACCTTGAGGCCGTCCCTGTTGGCTCGATGGTAAAGAATCCACCTCCCAGTGCAGGAGACATAGGTTCGATCCTTGATCCTGGAAGATCCCACATGCTGTGGAGCTACTCAGCCCGTGTGCCACCTTGACTGAGCGTATGCTCTGGAGCCTGGGAACCACAACTACAGAGCCCATATGCTGCAAGTACTGAAGCCCATGACCCTCGAGGCTGTGCTCTGCAATGAGAGAAGTCACCGCAAGGAGAAGCCCGTACACCGCAGCCAGAGAGTAGAGCAGCCCAAGCTCTCTGCAACTAGAGAAAAGCCCATGCAACAACGAAGACCTAGCACAGCCAAAACGAATAAATAAATTTTAAAAAAAATTATAAAGTTACCTTCAATTCAGCTCATGCCTTAAAATGATTTCTTCTAACTACAAGAGCACCAGTGAGAGTTTATCTGCACGTTGCAGGTCCCGCATGTATAAGACATGGGTGTGTTCGTTCTACAGGTGGGCTGGGGAAAAGGTAGGTTCTCAGGGTCTGGCATTGACCCCCACCAGTCTGCACTCCCTAGCTGGGACCCACTGGTTGGCATCTCATGCCCACTGTCCTTGTGTTGTCCTCCAGGGGGTCCCATGCGGAAATACATCTCCAAACTCCCTACTTCACGTCAGGAGGGGTGAGTGTTCCGTAGGCTGCCCCACTCTGGCCAGCCACAGTGGGAATGGCTGAATGACCAATGCCCACTGACAGCCTTTGGCATTTGCAAAACTCATTGCCCCTGCCCCAGCGTGCTGCTAGAGCAGAAGAGACCCATCTGCTCTTTGAACCACACGCTTACCCTGCCTGCCAGTGCCACTAACCCCCACCCTCGGGTCCTTTCTCAGAGGGAATTGGGGATGCCTGGGATCAGGGACCCAAGCCAACCTGAGCTGTGTGGCCAGCTGCCTCTGCAGTCAAGGGAGGCTCCCTTCTCCTTCAGCCTCTTTCCTCTTCCCCCCCAGCCCTGAGAAGTCTGGAACTCCATAAATCTGCCAGCAGCACTGGAAAATGGGGGGTGGTGGGGAGGAAAGAGGAGACAGTGAGTTGCCATGGTGATGGCAGTCAGGGAGCGGTCCTCCACTGCTGGGTAAGAGGGGCGCTCTATGAGTCCCCTTGAGTGACTGATAAGAGGGTGGAGCTGGAACCAGGGGGTGGAGGACAGGTTATCAGGTTCTGAGAGCAGAGATCAAGATGGGGACAGGAAAAGGAAGGGCTGCCCATTTCTAGAATTATCTAACTACGGTTTGAGTACTAAGACGTGATGGAATATATAAGTATAATTACAATGATGTGCTGCCATGCATCTCCAGAAGCTGAAAATGTGTGCCCATTAAACGAGAATTTCCCTTTTGTTATACTATCACAACCCCTGGTATAATGAAATCCATCAATCTCACATCAACCTTGTGAGAAAGGGACCCACTCAAAAGGGACCCCATTTATAAAGGAAGCAGAGTCAGCTAGGAAAGGTAACTTGCAGACAGTCTAGCTGGTAAGGGGGAAAATGGGTCAAGCCTCAAGTCCAAAGGATAAAGGGTGAGGAGAAACAGGGGCAAGGTCAAACCTGGGAGGTTCAGAGGGCTGGGTGGTGACCAGGGAAGAGTTGGAAAAGAGGGCAGTGGCCTACATGTTTCTCACACCTCCAGCACTGCCCTGAGTTTTGCTGAGAAAGATATGCAGGCAGAGGATGTCCCAGGACCTGCTGGGTCTGCTGGGGTTGAGATAAATGACTGTGACCAATCCATCAAAATGCAGAGGTTGAACATTGGCCCAGGGGACTCGGGCCAACAACGCACAGATCTGTGGCTTCACTCTGCATGACGCCGCACGTACTGGGGCAATGGGGCTAGGACCAGGCAGGCACCTGTGGTCACTCCTCGAATCTCCACGTGTTGCCCAGCTGTGCTGTGGGCACCTCATTCATTTTGCCTCTTCTAAGGGTAGAAACATGACTGTCTAATGTGTGGGAATGGGCTTTGCATCCTCCTGGGTTTTTGTTTTTTCTTTTTGGCTGCACAGCACAGCAAGTGGGATCTTAGTTCCCCAGCCAGGGATCACACTCACAGTCCCTGCACTGGCATCATGGACTGCCAGGGAACTCCTGGATCCTCCTTTTGATTGGAAGTGTGGAAAGAGGCAGCAGCACAGATGATTGATTGTCCAGAAGCCAGGGGCCCCAAGGCATCTGCTCAATGACTCACCAATAACACATACTTACAGCGCTAAGGCACGGAGGAGCGTGTCCTATTCCCAAAGGGATCTTGCCTGTCACAGCGGTGTTTCTCCTATAGGGCCAACTCGCAGCTGCCTTCAGGACCCTCCCCAAACCTCCCACCTCTCTCAAAACCTCAGGAAATATGATCCTAAACTCATCCAGGAATTCAGAATATCTGATCACTGTATTGTATCTGCTTTATTCACACTAATGTGGTTTTTCAAAACTATGTTATATAAACAGGCATTTATTTTCTGCCTTGTTTTAGGAGGAGATGAAAGCTTCGGGGGATTTTTCTTTTTGTGCAATGTGTTGAACTGAACATTGACAGATATTTACTTAAAACAAATAATAAAGGTGTGCCCTATGTGATGTGTCTTGACTCTGGAAAGTTTTTCACTTGAAGAGCAGCTCTCCTGACTTGCACATCAGCGGCTTAGAACTTTTTCAATTGACTAGAACACAAATAGACTGAGCCAATTCGAATCCAGGCACTGCTGGGTTACCAGAGCTTTGTTTATGCTGACGGTTATTCGTAAATAAATTGTAGCAGTGGTTACAATTTAGGACAGAAACACATGATATTTGTAAAATAACATATATCCACTAAACTAAAGCCTGTGAGTCACATAGGTCATTGCCTGACAAAATGTGTGCTCAATAAGCATTAGATGTTGCTATGATTATCACTAAATTCAAAGTATACTACCCATGAGTCTGCAAGTACCAACAGCCCATTTCAAACTTGTTAATGAAACAAGATAATTTATATCAATACTTGATAGTAAACACATACACACACCAGTTATAAAATGGGCAAAAGATACAAAGAGACCTTTCATCAATGAAGACATACAGACAACAAATATATATGTGAAAAAATGCTCAATATTATTAGCAATAAAGAAAATGAAACTTAAGACCACCAGGAGGTATCACTCTATACCTAAAAGAGCAGGTAAAATAAAAAATGACAGTATGGGAACTTCCCTGGTGGTCCAATGGCTGAGACTTTCCGCTCTCAAAGCAGAGAGCCAGGTTCTACTCCTAGTCAGGGAACTAGATCCCACAAGTCACAAATAAGATCTCAAATGCCACAGCTAAAGATCCCACATGCTGCAACTAAGGCCTGGGGCAATCAAATAAGTAAATAAATATCAAAAAAATGACAGTACCAAGTGCTGGCAAGGATGCAGAGAAACTGGAGGTCTCACGCAGAGCTGGTGTGAACATAAACTAATACAATCACTCCAGAAAATAGTCAATTTCTTAAAAAAACAAAACATACCCTCATAATTACCCAGAAGTAATTATACTTCTGGCATTATTCCCAGAGAAATAAAATACATGTTCACACAGAACCCATTTACAAATGCTCACAGCAGCCTTTATTTGTAATAGCCTCAAACTAGAAACAACCATAACGTCCCTCCCTGAGTCAATGGTTAAACAAACGCTGACTGGTCCATCCTTGCCACAGGTTGTTCCTTCATTTATCCGTTGTTTAATTGTTCAGTTGTGTCTGACTCTTTTGTGACCCTGTGGACTGTAGCCCACCAAGCTCCTCTGTCCATGGGTTCTCCAAGCAAGAATACTGGAAGTGGGTTGCTATTTCCTTCTCCAGGGGATCTTCCTGACCCCTGGTCCGGACTGGCATTTCCTGCATTGGCAGGTGAATTCTTTACCACTGAGCCACCTGGGAAGTCCTCCTGCCATGGGTTACTAGTCATCAGTAACATGAGTGGATGAGGGAGACACACACCAGCTTGGATGGATCTCAAGGGAATGATGCTGAGGAATAGAAGCCAGTCTCAGAAAGTCACAAACTGTGATTCCACATATGGAATAGTCTCAGAATGACGAAATGATAGAGATGAAAAACAGACCGGTGGTTGCTGGGAGTTAGGAATGGTGGGAGGAGGTAGCAGGAAGATGGCTATGGGTTGCATAGTTCTAGACCTTGACAGCAGTGAAGTAGTTACACAAATCCACACAGGTGATAAGTCAGCACACATGATACTATGTATCAATTTCTTGCTCTGATTCTGTCCTATAGTTGTGTAAATTGTAACCATGGGGGA